GGAAATGCGGCGCATACGGATGCGGCACGACAAAGTGGTGTCAAGGACCGTATCAATCGAGGCGCTTCGACAGTCCTTGAAGCCTTTTCTAACACGGTATGTGAATGACGCGATCACTTGGGCATTACAGAAGCAAAGGGATGATACAACAGAACAACAACGCCAGCTGGCAAAGTCGCTGAAGGAAGAGATACTGGCCGCTGTGCACGGGAAGCGAGACACGAGGCGAGAGATGGAAATTGGCAGACCAAGCATTCCACAGTCGCCTGCAGGTACGCCCGCAAGAGTTTCGTTGGCGCGTTCAAATGCAGATGCCGCCCCTTCAACGCCCCTGCAACAGACTAACATCCCAGGCGCGGCCATGGGGGTTTCGGTGGCGTTGGAAGCGGTAGATAAGGATGTAAGAAAGGGGGGTGAGAGTGTGGAGATCCAACAGTAAGAGACAGAGGAGCGCAAAGGTAAGGAGGAAGAGGGGGCGAAGCTGGCAATGGGGGAACAGATGGAGGAGACAGGTTTGGAAAGGAGTGAGGGTGATGCAGAAGGCGACGGAGTGGACGTGCAAAATGAAGGGGGAGGCAAAACCGACGCGGTGGAAGAGAAAGAACGAGTGACTTCAGACGGCAAGATGGCAGCGAGGGTGGAGGAGCATGTGGCATACAAGAAGCGGGCAGAATTGGACGCTCAACTGTCAGATATGGAAGCGGAAGAGAGGCGTTTGATAGAAGAGGCAGCAAAAAATGAAGCGGAGGGCATGAAGCGACGTCAACAATTGAACGAGGAGAAGACGAGAGTTGAGGGAGAGAGGTTGCGTTTAGCAGAGGAAGAAGAGAAGGAGAAAGCGCTGGCAGAGGAGCAAAAGAGGGCCCTGAAGTCGGAGAGTGCGCGAGTAGCTGCTGCACGACTTCGACTGTCATCGGTTGTGGGAACCTCGGGTGGTGTCCTGCTTCGACAAAATCCTGAACATTCAGATGGGGATCGTGGGACGAGACGGGGCAGAGATGAACATAGCGAGTCGCGAACGGGAGCAGAGGAAGCGGTTGCTAGCGAAGGGGATGGGACCGAGAGAGGGGAAAAGAAGTGGAAGGTTTGTGTTAAACCAGACGAGCTGAGGGGGTCTGAGCCTTTGGAGGTCTTCTCTGACACCTCTGGCCCAGCTGAGGGGGGTGACCCCGCTGCTGATGACATAGCGGACACTCGCCGCTCACCGCGCTTGGAGACCCCTCCTGATTTTCCGCCTCGGCCGTCTTCACCGCCTTTGCAGCCTGACGACGTGGACTCTGGTTCTTCTGGGGGTGGTGACACTAGAGGTGCGGACTCTGGGGGTGCTAACTCTGGAGGTGCTGGTTCTGGGGGTGCTGAGTCTGGGGGTGCTGGTTCTGAGGGTGCTGAGAGTCCGAATGGTGGTGGAGTCGTGGGTGCTCCTACTGGAGGTGCTGGGAGTGGACAGCAGTGGCAGTCTCGTCAGCAGGAGACTCTGTGGCCACAGCAGCTTCCCGAGTGGGTTCTTTGGCAAGGCCGCTCTGGTGACGGAGCTGGGGCTACTGGTGCTGGAGGTACTGGAGCTGGAGGTACTGGAGGTTCTGGTGTTGGAGGTGCTGGAGGTGCTGGTGCTGGAGGTACTGGAGGTGATGGTGCTGGAGGTGCTGGAGGTGCTGGTGCTGGAGGTACTGGAGCTGGAGGTGCTGGAGGCACTGGTGCTGGAGGTACTGGTGCTGGAGGTACAAGTGCAGGAGGTACTGGTGCTGGAGGTACTGGAGCTGCTGGTGCTGGAGGTACTGGAGCTGGAGGTGCTGTCAACGAATTGTTGTTTGTTTGTCATGCCCATTCCACAATTTCAGTTCCGTCATGAGGAAAACCAACGAGCGTCTGGCCATGGGAGCAAATTGGCAGACTGGGCTCTGCGAAGGAATCGGCAGGGCAATGCTGATTGGCTGCACTAGTCTGGAGCCGGCCCCAGATGGAGTCCCTCCTGCCGTGTTCGCTGCTGGAGTAGCATCTGCGCTCTACACGTTATGGGGAGCGTCGATGGCACTCCAGCAGAAGGTTATAAAACAGGCACCATAACCGTCGCGCGCGGCACCGTCGACGACGAGGAGCTGTTTAAGTGTGCTGCAGAAGCTGCTCGATGCGGCGTAGTTGCATTGCATCAAGTCACAGACAAAAAGCTCGTAAAGAAGGAATGGCCCTCGGTGTTGGGGCGCAAAATTGTCGCGATCCAGAATCCACTCAACAACGTGATGGAAGTGACAAATCTCGCCAAGGTGGTAGTCAGGGTGATGGTGTACTGGTGTGAATGTAGCCTCGCAAGAGGGGGGGGGGGGGGGGGGGGGGGGGGGGGGCGGGCTTGGCTCGTCACGAAGGCGTAGCCCTTTCCATTCTGCCGACGCGACGTGGCCGGCGGCTGAAGGGGGAGAAGGGGAACAAGTGATTGACCGTAGTAGTCTTTGTACGACTAATAGGTGATCTGCTTAGATAAAGAGTGAAAGCGTTTTTTTTTATACAAAAGAGGATTACTATAGAATTTGTTGCATCCATCTACCGCTGCTTAGTGGTCTAAGTCGTTGAACTCTGCAGAACAACACATCCACAAAGATTCGGATACCAATACGTGATCTACTAAGCGACAATTAAACGTTAATGTACGAGAGTGCCCACTTCTTTCGAACTGCTGTTGTCGAACATTTATACTCTACATGGTCGATAAATGGTTGATATCCTTTCGAGTTTCAATCATCTACCGATGCGCACTATTGTTGCAGCTCAACATGGATCCAACTGTCCGATGTGTAGAGTGAAACAATATCCAACATGATAACCTCATCAAGTGTTAGATGTGTTGCGTTAAACACATCTTGAGCTACGCCGACCCCTAAGCCTTTCGCACAAAGTCCTTCTACGTGGCTAACGTTCAGGCGTTTTTGGCGTGAATCAAATTTCCCAGTATCTACAAATTTGAATTTGAAGAATGCACTCTACCGTGCTCCGCATTATCCAGGACGGTTTTTTGACCGAACACAATCTATTCAGTCATAATCTTCCATGCCATCAAATAAAGATCCTAATTGTCTGCGCATATAGACACAATGGTGATAGGTAGCGCGTAGAGTTTAACATCGTTTCTCTCCGATTGTGGAGAACGCAAACACTCTGCACATAACTACCGCACCCACCTCCGTAATCCCATGCTTCTACTCCCCAGCTCGCGCGCCAGGCCTTATCCTCAAAGGCTTCTTCGACTCTCCGTCCTTGATCGAATCCCACTCAAAATTGCCGAACAGCGTTTCCCCCCATGCGTCTTCGCGCAGCCCATACAACACGAGCAGGTACGAAATCCTGGCGTTCGCATCGTCCGTGACGCTTTCCCCCCCAACCGTCGATGTTCGCTGCCTCTTCTGGCCCCTCTGCTCCTTGACAATAAGCCCATCTACGAACGTAGACGGAGAACACTGGAACAGCACCTCATTGAGCAGGTTCACTGACGCGGTCGTCGCCGCGACCGAATCGTCCACCCTGAACTTTCCATTGCTGTCATAATTTTGTTCATGCGACGCAGCTGCTTTTCACATGTGCTATCCTTGGTCGCCAGACGTAAAGTGGGTCCAAACTTGCCTTTCTCTCCCTCAATTTCCTTCCCCCTCTTGAACTTTGAGCAATTTATGCAAAAGGTTGTCTTCTCGGCCTTCCACGAGGAAGCTAGACTTGTTCCACAGCGCCCATGCCTCCGCCACGGTGGTGCTGTCACGCCACGGCCGCACCACATTGCCGAAGTAGCCATCTCTGGTGTCGGACATATGGGTTCCGCGTGCAGTTGCATCGTGGAGACTTTGGGTCGAACTCGTCGTGCTCGCTAGAGTGGATCCACATCATTGCAAGGTCTTGCGCGACCACATCCCGACCGCACTTGATGAGACACTCCCAGGGTGATGCTGTTTGTAGGGGGTCCTTCGACCGTTGTATTTATCGACCTGGTGGTGAGGGTGGGATGCAAAGACGTAGAGATGCAGAAATTGAATACCTGATATGCACTAAGACGGTGACCTCAAACATTGGAGTTTACCTGGTGCGCCAGCTGAATCATGACCTTCACGGCGAGAGCCCTCCACAGGGCCTGAGATGGGAAATCCTTGCTCCTCGCATAGACGTAAAAAATATCTTCGGGAAGAATGTTGTGATGCAGCTCCCTGTATTGATCTGCGTTGTAGCAATTGTCGAGAGACCCACGGTGCTGATCCGCGCCGATTCTGCACAGATTGTGGGTCAGCGTTATACGCGAAGCATTTCGGAGCGACGATGATCGGCTACGACTCTGCGGAGTCTTCGTTAATGAAGAGCACAATGTGTCATCGGTGCTTCACATCTCCCACAATGAATTGCTCACCGGATTTGCTCCTCGTTGAGGTTGACCAGCTTCACCCTCATAAACGCCCCGCCCTCCATGACTTTGTCTTGCATCTTCGTAATGGGGTAGTCGTACAGGGCAGACTCGCATCTGCCGAGGCAGGCAATAGCGTTCATCTTCGCCTTTATCATCTTTGGCGTGCTGGGCTTGGGCTCCCTCCTGGCAACAACAGGCGCATCTCCCTTGAGGGTAGGCGCTTGTTCAGGGGTTTTAGAGAACAAGTACTCCATGTAGCGGATAATCCTCCACCCGGTAACACGAGGTCCGTGTAGATGCTGCTTAGGGTCTGCCACCCCTTCCCACGAGAGTTTCTTGTCGTAGCCCATGTACATGCCAACTTCGTCTGGGTTCTGCAGGTCAATTTTCTCGGCCTCTGGAATCTCGTTTGCCAGCAGGGTCATCATCACTATTGTAACCCAACGCTTGTAATGGCGCCAGTTGCAGGCGTACTGTCCTCTTGTCTTTGCGGTTAACCCGTTGGCATGCACCGCTGCGCGCATTTTCCTGGTCTCTCTGTCGGCGTCTCTCTGCGGGGGATCGCTCCCAAAGAAGATGGGATCGCCTCTACGATCCTCGTTAAATAGGGGACGACGAGTGTGGCTTAAATTCTCCCCCTCTTGGCCTTGCGATGGTGTTTGGCGCTGCGAAGGTCATTGTCTTTGCGTAGATCATTGGCCCTGCGAATGTCGTTGGCTCTGCGCGGATCGCCAACCCTGGGAAGGTCGTCGGCCCCGTGAGGTTCGTCGACCCCGCGCAGACCGTTGTCCTTGCAAAGGTCGTTCCTGTGCAGATAGTTGGCTCTGAGACAGTCGAGTGTTGTTTGAATGCTCAACACCTACACCCTCATAAGCTCTGTTGTGGCTTGAACTCTCACCCTCCTGACCCTGCTCATCTCTTTCCCCCTCCTCCATGTAGTCATCACTAGCATCGCTAAAATCGGTCTCCGTCTCTTCATCATCCGCGTCATCCGAACTGTCATCATCGTCGTCTCCCTCGCTTGCGTCCATGTACTCGGTGTCCTCCTCTTCGTCGTCCTCTCCCTCTGCTTGCCCTTCTTGATCGTTCTGGATCGCGTCGCAATATTCGAACTCCGTCTCTTCATCGTCCGCTTCCTCTGCACCTGCTTCCTGGCCTCCCAATTCTTCACGGACCCCTTCCTCTGCACCTGCTTCCAGGCCTCCCTCTTCTCCACCTGCCCATTCCTCTGCACCTGGTGCCGGGCCTCCCTCTTCTTCAGCAGCCGCGTTCCCCTCTTCTACAACTTCCTCTTGAGTCTCTGCAGCATCGGCCCACGTGCCTTCACAATCGACATCGTAGATGAGATCGTGGCCTGCATCATGCGCCATGTCATCATCGGCTTCCGTTAATTCGTCGTCGTCCTTCTCCTCGCACCCGCCCATTTGTCGCCATAAAACATCGAGCCAATCGATCCCACCTTTGTCCATTGGACTCTACACATAACTAAACCGCGCCTAAATAGGTAAAGCTCATATCGGTTTGGCAGAATCAGTGTGCACGCAAAAACGAACCTACCTACGAGGATATCACTACTAACAAAGAGAGGCCGCTCATCGACAAATCGATAGATGTACGAGGTCAGGGCACAGCAGTGGTTTCGTTGACAAAGAAAACATAGAATATGTAAAGGGAGGGATCCGCAGAGTTCTAAACTAATGCGACAATGTAGAGTGGCGGAGGACCATACTGTCGTCGAAGAGTATCATATTCTACCCAGATTGATCTTTCCGGAGAAACACTTCGGAATGGTTTAGAGCAGTTGGCAGATGAAGAGGCAGATTTACTGAGGTGTGTTACGACAGAGGACGGAAAATCGGTGTTGTCGAAATATTGCTCGGTGGTAGATAAGCGTCTCAAATAGGAATTGCAGAAACTGCTAAACTAGCGTGTTGCAGAAATGCTATCGAGATGCGTCCACAACTGCCACGACGTCGACTTCGGCTCGAGCTGCAGAACCTATGTTCTACTCTACAATCGGAAACTTGGACGGTCGGGCTGCCCAAAAAAAAAACCACGCGGACTACGCAAATCGTCTACGCAAAACCGGGTCCAGGATGATGACCGTCTGCAGACTTTCTACGAACGAAGCATTGGGAGATTGGAGGCGGGGGGGGTGGGTGTTGCGTACTTAGCGAAACAAAATCGCTGAAGCGGGTGCAACTGCACTCGTAGGACCTCACATTGGCCATCAAGAAAAAAAGTGAACAAGGTGACGACCAGAATGAGGGTGACAACCAACTTTGAAGCCACACTCTGAACTGAATCCACTAATCAGGTCGCCCGGTTTTCAGATCTGGATCACATGGCCACCCGCCAATTCCAGGGTCGACGGTTGGCTCCTGGGTCGAATTGGGGATGTTGTCGTCTGGTATTGGTTCCTGCCACAGAGGAGAAACCTGGTCAACGATTGGTCGACTCAGTTTTGATGTCAGAATACACCGTGTCGTCGATAAGAGCTTAATGAATATATTCGATTCTCTGCTACTGTACGAGTTGCAACTCATTTGCTTAGTGGTGGCGGTAGTCGAGCGGCAAGCGGCGTCTCTTTGTCGGAACAGTGTCGGATATGGTTGACACTTCTGCACGTAACAAATCTTCTAGGTTGTTTACGGCATGATTCCGACCGCGAGGATTCGCGCGATGGTGACTGCTCTTTTACGTGAAACCATGGCGGGTATGTGAGAATAATACGAGGAATGAAATGACTAGAAATGAGTTGGGTACAAATAGGGAAACCAAGAAATGTAGTACCCCCTATTGTCTAACCCACTACAGCCTAAACAGGCTATAACATAAGTTTGACACACCCCCATAGGCAAAGTGGGGGAGAACAAGAGGTCACAAGACCAGTCAAGAAAAGAAAAGCAAGCTCAGGGTGGATCTCAAGGATACCACACAAATTCCGAGCACAAGCAAGCGGTCACAAGACCAGTTCACATGCAGTTTGATATATAACAAGAGGTACAGTGATCACAACCTAGCAAGTGTAAGCATGCAGGTATATGTATAGAGATCACAATACAAGCAGAGTCAAGAGGTAAGCAAGTGAGGCACAGTAGGCACAAGGCCTAGAACAGTACAGAAACGCTGATGATCACAAGGCTGAAGCGCCTTGGTGAACACATCAGCAGTGTTGGCCCGAGTGGCCACGTAAGCAAGGCGAAGCTGACCACGCTGCTGCAACTCTCGAGCAAGGAAGTAGCGCAGAGCGATGTGCTTCGTTCTGTGCTCCAGTCTGTGCTCCTGACACAAGGCAATCATGGCCTTGCTGTCGACGTACAGCACTGGAGGAGAACAAGGCGGCTCTCCCAGGTCAGTCAGCAGGTAGGTGAGCCAGCGTAACTCCTGTGCAGCCATGGCCCCAGCGTAGATCTCAGCCTCACAACTGGAGCTGAGAACAGAAGACGAGCGGGTAGACCGCCACGAAACAGAGCCGGAGCCAAGGCTGAAGGTGTAACCCTGTGACGACCGCTGCGTAGCGAAGTCGTCATCCCAAGAAGCGTCTGCGTGACCAGTGAGGACAACTGGACCTCGCCCTCCAAGCACGAGCCCCATGCCCGACGTACTGCACAAGTAGCGCAACACCCTCTTAGCAGCATCCATGTGCTCCTTCCTGTGTCGGCCAGGAGCGACATAGCGTGCTAGGATTCTAAGAGGGTAGGCTAGGTCAGGTCGAGTGCAGGTCATCAGGTACATGAGGCAGCCCACAAGCTCTGGATACGGGCCACTCGGCTCTACGGACTCGTCCGAAAGTGGAGCTGAGAGCGAGTGACCGGTAGGCAGAGGAGTGGACTGTGGTGAGGAGTACGTGAAGCGGAAGCGCTGAAGGACCTGCTGCACCATGTGTGACTGAGTCAAGGTGATGGTGCACTGTGCTCTGTCCCGGGTGATCCGCAAGCCAAGATAGCTTGTCAGCTCACCCAGGTCTGTGCACGTGTGTCTCTTCTGCAGCTCCGACTTCACGTGGGCGAGTGCCTCAGTGTCAGCAGTAGCAAAGACCAAGTCGTCTACGTACACGAGAACGTAGAACGGCGGCAGAGTGGTGTCGGTGCGTAGAAACAGCGACGGGTCAGCAGTAGAAGGAGCAAACCCAAGAGCAGTAAGAGTAGTCCTCAGTGTGTCGTGCCACTCACGGGGTGCCTGGCGGAGACCGTAGACTGGCCGCTGGAGGCTCCACTGGGTACGAGGAGGAAACGACCCAGTGAAGCCAGGTGGGCGGCGCAGCCAGATCTCCTCGTGCAGGCTGCCCTGTAGGAAAGCAGTGCTGAAGTCAAGAGAGTGGAGCTCGTAGTCACGCTGAGCGGCGACGTGCAGCAGAACCCGAAGAGTGGTCATCTTCGGGGTAGGGGAGAAGGTCTGGAAGAAGTCAACTCCCTCACGCTGACTGAAGCCTCGTGCAACGTAACGCGCCTTGAAGATAGGCGGAGAACCCGGCGGCCGCTTCACCCTGAAAATCCACATGCCACTGACGATGTTCGCCCCAGGTGGGGTGACCTCATCAACGTAGGTGCCTGTGGACTTCCAGGAAGCCATCTCTGCGTCCATGGCTGACTGCCACTGAGAGGAGTAGGGACCCTCTATCGCCTCTGCGTAAGAGCGCGGGATCGGGATGTCTGGTGCATCCGGGTCTCCCTCAGGGGCAATCAGCATGGACACGAGATGAGGTAAAGCAGCGGCAAAGCACTCAAACTCCTCCTGTTTGTCCTCAAGGACGTCCGTGCCAAGAGCACACTCACCCCCGACGGACGGAGGACAGACAGACTCAGACTCAGCAACAAGGCTAGCGGCGTAGTCTAGACGACAGGCGGCAGCAAAGTCAACAAGCTCAGCAACTAGAGCAGACGCAGCAGTGGACTCAAAGGAAGGGTCAGTGACAACAGTAGCGAGAAGACGCGTGACAGTAGGACTGGCAGCACGAGCAAGGTCTGACGGCGGGTCAGCAACGTCAGGAAGAGAGGACGCAGGAGGAGACGGCAGAGGGACACGCTGTGGAGCAGTGGAAGGACGCAGAACCATATAGTGAGTGCCAGGGACAGGAGGAGGACGCTCACGCGGAACACGACGACCAGTGCGGACAGCGCGTACAGGCGACTCTGGACGAGACACAGGCGAGGCAGGACGAGACTCAGGCTCACGACGCTCCGTAAGACCTCTAGTCGGCCCAGAGTAAGGAGAAGGACTAGGTAGTGGAGAGGCTGGCTGTAACTGTGACTGCGACTGGACAGGCGGTGGACTCAGCAGGGGAGGAGTAGGACCAGTAGAAGGCGGGAGGCCAAGAACCTGCTGAAGAAGCGGAACGTAGTACGGCCGCGGCCGCGCAGCGCCTCCTGAACCAGCAGAGACAGCACCAGCACCCTCAGCTCCAGGGTCTCCAGCTACAACTCCCGCAGCACCACCAGAAGCTCCAGCAGCTCCAGCACCTCCAGCTCCAACTCCCTCAGCAGCACCAGTAAGAGCACCTCCAGGACCAGCGGCTCCAGCAGCTCCAGCACCAGCAGCACCAGCACCAGCAGTACCTCCAGTAGCACCAGTACCAGCAGCTCCAGCAGCTCCAGCACCTCCAGCTCCAACTCCCTCAGCAGCACCAGTACGAGCACCTCCAGGACCAGCGGCTCCAGCAGCTCCAGCACCAGCAGCACCTCCAGCAGCACCAGCACCAGCAGCACCTCCAGCAGCACCAGCAGCACCTCCAGCAGTAGGCCCCCCAGCTCCAGCAGCACGGCTACAGCGCCGAGCGTACCACTCACAAAGCTGCCGTGGAGAGAGGGGCTCCCGCCGCAACGGGACACTCGGAGGACCTCCAGTCTCAGCACCCCCAGACTCAGCAACTCCAGGCTCAGCAACCCCAGGCTCAGCACCCCCAGGCTCAGCACCCCCAGACCTGGCACCCTCAGGCTCAGCACCCCCAGCAGCACCTGAGTCAACAGCTACCTCAACAAGCTCGACTGCGTCTACCTGAGACACACCTGAGGGGGCAGGACCCTGAGGGGGGAGGGGGTCTTCCGGAGGAGTACCTGGCGCGAGGAAGAGCGGCGGGGGGGGGAGGGGGGCAGTGCGGTAGGGGAAGAGACGGTAGTAAGGAACCGACTCGTCAAACGTGACGTCCTGAGAGGACAGAACACGGCGCGAGGTGGGGTGGTAAAACTGCCAACCAGGCGCGTCAGGGGGGAAGCCAAGGAAGACGCAGGGAACGGCACGGGAGGACAGCTTGTCCGCAGACAAGTCGCGGACGAAAGCTCGAGATCCCCAGACACGGAACGCAGACGCATCGCCAACCTTCCCCGTCCACCGCAGAGTGGGGGTGGTCTCCGGCATGGAGACCCGGGGCTGGAGGTTGATCTGATGCGCCGCGTACTGAACCGCGAACGGCCACAGAAAGTGGGGAGCAGCCGCATGGATCATGGACGTACGAGCGACATCCATGACC